CTGGACTGGATGAGCTTTTGAGGTCCCTTCCAACCCCCAACATTCTGTGATTGAGTTCAAGAGCTTGCTCTCGGCCCCGGCCGCAACCGGGGAAGTCTGGCGGTGGCAGAGCATCTCCTCTGCCTACAAGGAGGTTGTAGTCTGTGGCTTTGCAGACCTTTTCCTGCCGCTCAGAAGGGAGGTTGTGTTGGGAAGCTGAGGCAGTGGGAGGAGCCGGATGGATGTGCAGATACACCTGCGCCCCATCTCCTCACCTTAGAGCTCCCTGAGGTTCCGCCAGCTCTTGAGTATTTGCATCCCGGTTGCTTTGGGTTCCCCGTCGCCGTGTGGAAGTGATGACTGAGCTGACCCTGAGTCTTAATTTGAGGAGTGTAGGCTGCTCCCGGTTAGCTCCTGCGCCGCTCCCTGACTGGTTTTGGCACAGAAGGAATTACTGAAATAGGCTCTTTCACACTTTGTAGAACTCTTTCTGCTTGAGCTTCTTAATCTGTGGTTAAATATGGGCGATGATTTGGCAGTGAGGCTAAAAGGCACAAAAAATAATCTTTGTTTTCAAAACAAAAGTTCTCCGTGATCCCTCTCAGATCCTGGACGGTACTTGTAAGTGGTACAAAATACAGATTTAGGGCAGGTAGAGGAAGCAGTGACAGTGGTCCTGTTGTACTGGAATGATGCAGCTGCGTTACTTCTGCTGTTTTGAGGGAAAATCTCCATGTTTTGAAAATGAAGTGCATGAAATTCCTTAGACCCTACAGTCACTGCAGTGCTTGAGAGCCAAATATTAGGAGAGCTTCCTGGGAAGGACCAATTCTTTTTATTTCGGTCTGACCCCCTGGTGGATGGGAACTAGGGAACTTCTAGGCCTTTCAGATTTCTCCCATATTAGAAATAGGGTGGCAGTGGTAAATAGGAGGTTAGTTTACAACATGGTTTTGAAGTTGGTGGTATTAAAAATACTGCTGCTGCGGCCAGACAGGACAGCAATACAACAGCTCAGACCTTTTTTATTCTCTAGCAAGTCAAATACTTGGCCAGCATGATTTTTTTTCCCCCAAAGGAAGGGTAGTTGGGGCACTAGCAGGTGGAGCTGTCCTGTAGTGGTGTGGCAGCATCAGCTGGTACCGCTGCAGGCAAAAATACACGTGGGCTGTTAGCAAGGGTCCCTCACAGCTCCCTATGGGGGTTTTGAGGGCTTTTTTTCAGTAGCTCAGGCACAGGCAGCGCAACCAGTCTCTTTGCAAAAAAATTTAGACTGAAGAGGAGGTGTTTGATTTGGTGCTCATGGTTGTATCTGCTGTTTTATGCTGCACCTCTGTTACCTGTCAGGCTTCAGCTTTTATATAATTCTCATGTTTTTCTTAATCTCAGGATTGGCATGAGAGGACGAGAGCTGATGGGCGGAGTTGGAAAAACGATGATGCAGAGCGGTGGAACGTTTGGGACATTCATGGCTATCGGCATGGGAATCCGCTGCTAACCCGGAGCATCGCTTCTGCCCCAGCGTGCCCCCGTCCAGCCATTCCTCCTCTGTACCATAATAAAATCTTTAGATTCCTGGAAGCGAGAGCTCTTCATGGAGCAACGCAGCACCATCCTCCTTGCTCTGCCGATTGTAAACGTGGTTTTTACCAAGTTTCTACTTTCCTCCCATGACAATGGGAATCCTTTGTACTACATTAAAGGCCCTGTTCCACAGGTTTGAAGTGCAGCGCAGCGTTTCTCCCTTGGGTACTCGGGCAGCTCGCATCGGCAGCGATGTGGAGCCCCTCCCTGGCGCTGGTACATTCGCGACTCTGGGAGTTACTCTGTGGCTAATTCAGATCAACGATCAGATTTCTCTCCTTTTGAAAAAATAGATGGGTTGAAGCTGGCCCCATTGCCGAGTTCCAACGAATACGGGGCAAATGCCCTCACAGGGAGCGAGGGATCCCAGAAGGACTTCGGGAAGTCCTTTTGCACGTAAGGGCAAATTACAGCAGCTCAGGCACCTTCTTCCAGGCAGACCGGGGGTGTGGGAAGCAGTCAGGGAAGGGGCAGCTGGAAATCGTGGCAGTTGCTGGAAAATGGAAAAGGGCTCCCGTCCCGTGACAGCTAGAGGTATTTTGTGCTGAGTCACGAGGATGACGGATGCCAGACGTGGGAGAGGTAAGCTCCTTACCAAGCCTTGAGCAAAGCCTTTCCTAAAGCTCTCCTTGCCTGCCCAGACAGCAGAGCCTGGCTGCGCTGCCCCGCACAGCTCTGACTTTTCACTCCCTCGGCAAGGGAAGGGACTTCACCCGCGGGAGCTGCACTCCCAGAACCGTTCTGAACCCTCAGTGGGCCGGCAGGGTGTTCCTGCCCTTCGCCAGCCGTGGTGGCAGTGCCTGCAGCTGAGCCCCGAAACATTGAGCCAAGCGTGGTAATCTCCCGTTATCTGCCTTTTGGAACCAGGCTCATCTCTGCTCCTCCTTTCTTTCTGTTCGAGCACAGGGCAGAGCAGAACCTGGACCAGCACCTACACCATCGTTACCTGGCACACGTGCCACCGTCCCACTTGAGGGAGAAACACGAGCCTCCTGTCACACACAGCAGTAACCTCCAAGAGAAACTGCCACTGACAGCCCAGTTGAACACAGCTACTCTGGCACAGCTCCAGTTTGACTCCGGCTGGCACTGGTGGCTTCAAACTGGCGACTACAAATAAGCGGAACAGGAGAGCAGCATTGCTGGGCCTGTCACGAGCTCCCCTGACACCCTTGTGCAGCGTATTCCTGCCCTGCCCACACGTGCCTTTGTCCAACTCTCACCCCGTCCCCTTTCCTCACCTGGCTCCCGCCCGGGTTGCTGGAGCCGGAGCTCGGCTGCGGCTGCCCCTGCACATTTCCAGCCGCCTGGGTTGGGTGGGTTTGCCAAAGGCAGCTTTGATTAGCCCGTAGTACCACCAGGGGTAGGGGGCAAGGGGCACAGCAGGAGGGCAGGGCACTGGGCAGGCTGCCCCACACAAACCCCGCCACAAGCCCACTTACATCACTTCTGCAGCCCTCGGACTCAACTGTCTGTGAAAGGTGGGGCCGCAGGGGGCAGGGGAGACGTCGCCTCTGGAGGGCCTGACAAAGGGCAAGAGCCCTCCACGGCCCCGGCCCTGGGAAAAGCCACCGGCTGCAGGACAGAGGGTTCAAACCAGTAGGAACCAACTCCTGCTTTTTTTCCCCCGGAGGAGCGGCATTCCCAGCATCGACCACTCACCTCCCGTCTTCAGCCCGCTCTGCTGCAGTCACACCACGAGAGCAGAGAAAGAAAGCTTCGTGATGGCCTTTTTAAGAGAATTTTATTTGAGTGGTTCTTACAAAGATTGTTGCAATATGAAAGTCTTTGTTTGATAGAAATATCAAGCTGTCTTGTCAAACACACTGAAGTAACCCAAAAATATATTTCAGAGCTCACAGAGCTTAAAAAGAGCAAAGATTATATGCAACCAGAACAAAACACGTTTCTGTATTTCCTACCGATTTTCAGACTGCTGAAATCCTCCAACTGTGCCACACTGCGTACATAGAAACTTCTCTGGAAATGCAGAGATCGTTTTGTTTGGAAACTTAGACACACCTCACACAGTATTTACAAAGAAACTTTTACAGATACATTAATCAAAAGTTACCATCAAGAAATAAAACCCTTCAATCCTTCTATTCTTACCGATTATTCAGCACAAAGCAAAGCTGAGTGGCTGGCTCGTCAGCTTCCAGTAGCCTCCTGAATTTTCCATTTATACAAAACACTAAGTATGTCCCTTCATAAAGTCTATCTCCGATATTAACCTTTAGCGGATCACCTACATTTAGTGAAATGTAAAATGTCATTGCTGCATTAAAAGAAAGGCTTGTGAAACATTAAAAATGTCGTTATGTCCCATCTGCCTTTTACAGAGACTTGTTTTCTATGAGCTACTTCTCGGGTCCTACTGATCACCTTAGTAAATGTACAAGAATTACAAGGCAGAACAAGAAGTCAACAGCTTTGTTTACAGTGGAAATGCTAGTTAGGGAGAATGAACACACTGCATTTCTGCTTACTTCATTTTATTTTTAAAGATAGCAGGAAGTGTACACAAAATGACATTAAATCCTTTCCTTTAGTTTTATCTAAATAAAAGATAACTCAATCTTCCTCCAAAAAATAACTATGTACAAAACTGACTAAATCCATCTTCATCGTCGAACGGGAACCAGTAGTTGGGTTGCAGTCATCGAATCTGGGAAAAGGCTGTGGTACGTTGGAAGAGGTACATACGCTGCTGTAATCATTTTACCTAATCAGAGTATTTAAAAATGAAAAAACACAGAAAATCAGTATTTGGCAATTTCTGCAATGACCGAACGTGTGCGGGTCTCGGCACAAAGTCCACTCACCGGCAAACCACCTCCCGTGCAACGCGTTCACGGCCGCGATGGCAGCAGCGATCGAAGGACATTTGACGTACACGTTGCCCTGTAACACAGAAGCAGCGGCACAGCCCGTGAGCCGCGGTACAGCCCTGAGCCCGTAGTACAGCCCGTGAGCCGCGGCACAGCCCGTGAGCCGCGTCCCACAGCCTGCTCTCAAGACACTTCCTTGGTGCGGCCGTGATGGACACGAACCCACATCCCATTATAAACTGATAATGCAGAACGAGTGCAAGAGAACAGAGCAGGGGGTAGCTTCTGACTGACATGCACGACCCTTCCGCACCAGTTATCTTGGCATGGAACTTTCCTAACCAGCATTTTGCAAAACAGACCAAATGTAAGCCTGATCTGAAAACAACAAGTACTGTGGAATTGCTAACTGGCTCCTGATAACCATTCCAAGAGAGTATCGAGGGGCTCCTGATTACAAATCTCCAGCCAAACAGAGAGGCACAAGGATTTTAGCTAATTCCACTGCAGGCTACCCGTCGAGTTCTGTAGATCACCAACTATAACCGTAAATGCTTAACTAAACTGCAAGTTCACAGTCTGGTTTTCGAGGGGATGAAGGACTCCCCACTCCCCAGGGCAGGAAGGACATCCAGCACTTCAGACTCTTAACTTTGCCACAGATACTTGAAGTTTTCTGCCTGCAAAACAGATTTTAAACCAGCCTCATCCAGAGCTCCCCAATATCCACATTCAACAACTTCAAGACACCCAGATGCCCAGAGTAATGTGTACGCATTTTTCTGGCTGCCTGCTTAAGAACAGAATAGTACCAGTAATCCTTGAACCAAATCAGATTCTAGCTGGAACAGATGTTACAGGAGAAAAATGTATTAAGAAACAGAATCGAGCCTTCCCTTTGCCAGCCTGTACTAACTCTTCCCACTGTGATCTAACTCATTCCCTCTTGGGGGAAAATCTGAGATGGGGGCTGCTCTTTAAGGCTGTGAGCAGTGAACACGCATAGCTCTGGGCTCAGCCTCCCCCCACAGGCATCTGAGCTGCCTGAACCCTGACATGAGATACAGCAAGGTAAAGCTAAACACGGCTGCACGTTGCTGTAGGTACCGGGCTGCAGCTCACCTACCATCGCAGGGTTTCAAGTGACAAGAGCCTTCTGTAGAAGCAGCGCGACGATAATGCAGGTCTGTGAGTGCCAAGTGCACTGCCAAGAGCAGAACAATGCCACCTAAGCAATACCGACAGGCACAGCAGTGGGATTTCAGCCTCACACCACAGCAGGGATGGCACACAACGGGACAACTGCAGTGTTGGAAAACTGTACTTCAGCTTGGGCTGTGAACTCCGGGTAAAAGGGGTTCAAGAAGGCCAAATCTCTTTACAGACCTTCTACAGTTTATATTCTAAGAGCTGAAATTCAGAGAAGAGATGGAAGAGACAACCAGTCTGGGGATTATGCAAGAAAAGTCAATGCAGAAGAAAAACCTATTGCCCTTCTTAAGATGCAGGCTCAGATTGCCTCAGACAGGCATTAACCTGTAATTAACCTGCTTCAGTAGCCCTTTTTCTACTCCTCCCTAACTCCCGGCTCTCCTACTGCCCACTGCAGGATTTCAGTATTACCAGTGAATGCAACTGCTTCCAAGCACAGCATTAGGCACACATTCAGCTGCACATCTGCAAGGACACAGCGTGACGGCTTTAAAGAAAGTAGATTCAGAGTAGATCTAAGAACGAAACTCTTCACTACGAGAGTGGTGAGACCCTGGCCCAGGGAAGCCGTGGCAGCCCCTCTCTGGCAGTGCCCAAGGCCAGGCTCTGCGGAGGGAGGTTCCCTGCCCAAGGGACAAGATGAGCTTTAAGGTCCCCTCCAACCCAAACCGTGCTGTGATTCTATGACCTCAAGTCTGCCAGAGCAGGGTGTCCTCTGAGCTAAACCTGCATTCGCTAGAACCAGAGGAAACTGGAACTCCCTGACTTTTGGGAAATGCACATCTTAAGGGAAAAGCCAAATGGCAGAATGAGAGAGGTCATTACGCTTCAGCCTGTACTTCCACAGTAATTCCAGCTCTGTAAACCAAGAAGAGCAGGCCACAGCACCAGAAAACTGTTCACAGCTGCATTCGAGTTATGTACAACGACTGGAAACAGGAGGGAACCACCTACAGTTCGCAAAAAATGGAAAGCAACTTCAAAAATGTAGGTTCTGTTCAGGAAAAAAATCAATCATTCATAATGCTCCCTCTATACACACACTACAAAGCACTACAAAGTCCTAAAATCTGTTCAGTGTCTCCTTGGAATCAGGCATACCTGAGCCGAGTTTTTGTCTACATAGATGTGGATAACTCCTCCGTGTTTGTTACATTCCTCGATCACATCATCTTTAATTTCCGTATCCCAGCCAGCTTCTTCTTCACTGTAGGGAGTGGAGGAAGAACAAGACAGAGATAGAATTTGTTATCACTTGGACAAAATCCAGGCCGAGACCCGTCAAAACCCTCTGTAACATTCTGAATGCTTTCTCCCACACTGAAGTCATCAACAAATGCCAAACACAACCAGAAAATGATGTATCACTTACGTTTGAGGATTAAACATGTTGGAAAGCTGGAAGCACTGTGTTGCAAGTGGTTGTACAGAAGCTGCTGCAGCTAGAACTGTAATGGAAAAAAACAGTAACAAATCTAAGAACCTGCTACACGTGGCTCAGATTTAAATGAGAACCTTCTATCTGTTCTTTAAAATCCCAACATTCAGCAATAACAGCAACAGCTCTAACTAAACAGAAAACCGAAGTCAGGAAAACAAACCTTGTACCTAGACACCACGATAGATAAATTTTTAATTGACTGACACAGCAAACAGCAGAGATCAACTACCGCTGAAGCTGAATTGTGAAAAGATAACTCTGTACATGGATTTTGGCAGATTTTCAATTTAAATATTCAGATGCAGACACATGTATCTTCACATCCATCTAAACATTCTGCCTGTGTTGCACACCAGCAGCACGTTTCGCTTTCTCACGGAAGCCAAGGATCAGCCTTTTCTTAAACAGTCCCTGGAGGTGTGTAAGGAGAGGCTGGATGTGGCACTCAGTGTGGTATGGCCCATGAGGGGGTGTTGGGACACAAGTCTCAGAGGGCTTTGCCAGCCTCACTAATTCTGTGATTCTGTGAGTGACACCACCCCACCAACTAAAAGACATCTTAGAGAATTCTCAAAAGAGTGTTTTTTAAGCACATTGAATTATCCTTCAAAAAAGCATATCATACTTTTGTCCCTTGGAAACACATAATGTAGGAAATCACTGCAGCATTTATAATTTTGGCCGTCAAATGCAGAACAGATCTAAACTCCTTCCTGGTACATGACAGTATTACAACTTGTCATTTTTGCTCTTCATCACAGTACACCTCACTCAAGGCTGCCCTTTCCACAGGCTTATGTAAACTGCTGTTAGCTGAAGTAACAGCCACCTTCTCATACATACACACATTAAGGGCTGCACAGTCAGAGCAAGATGGTAACGACGCCAAGGACAGCAACCCCAAACTCCCGATTCTTAAATGACCCCTCCCTAGCCCCTACCTCTAAGGCAGGAAAAAGGAAAAAGCCACAACACGCAGCCACACCTAAACCCACGCTTTTTCTAGGACTAGCTATGTCTGAGGAATGCCACCACCACCGAGGAAATGCTACCAAGAAAGGGCGAGGTGTTTAACACACACTCGGCTGTTCTGGGTCAATGATCAATACGCAGTACAACTCCTGCAGGCACTATCGTGATACAGTCCAACAGGCTGTTGGCATTTCACTTATGAACAACTGCAACAAAACCCACTGGTGACAAGTTATATCAAAGGCCAGTTTACCTTCATTCTGCTGAGACAGTCTCGTTTGCAGATCTAAAGAAAAACACACAGGAGTTCATTAGTATGCTTGCTACCACAGGAGTAAGTTTATCTCACAGAGAAACCCATGCCTTAAAAGGAAAGACACGACCATGTCCTTTAATTCAGTTTATCACTTCGGCCTTGCCTTTGCTGTGCTTGAACTCTTTGTAACACGTTTTTTGTTCCATGAGAAAATAACTACAGCAGTTCTTACAGGCATTACAAGTTTGGTATCTTTACTAACTCTTTAGGGATACAGTTACCCAGATGTAACACTGAAAGCAGTTGTCAAATTTCAAGTAGAATAAGGTGGCATTTCACCCGTGATGTTTTCATACAAATGTTGTAATGACACAAGTTACTTTGGTATTTTTCAAGTTCAAACATTTTCAAGTGTTCAGAACACTTGCCAAGAAAACGGTAATTACTTGCTTAGTAACATACAGCTGATCCAATCTGAAATTATGGGGACAAAAGGAGACTTTCTAACCATTTCCAAGTATATGACTCCAACACTCAACATCTGCAGACCAACGCAAAACTTCAGAATGCAAGAAATGTAAGTGTAAGCCTCTCCACTTACAATCCGATTAAAATCACACAAACACAAGGAGTTAGAAGGCTGAAGTTCACCATCACCTTAATTCACTTGTTTAGAAAGCTGTGAAGTGATGGATCCCAAACAAGCTTCCACGCTTACTCAGAAATAGCTGAAGGTACCAGGTATCAACACACTTGTTTCCTTTCTGACAAATCCTCCTCCACAACACTGTGGGACCAACAGGAGTGAGTTTTCTGCTCTAAGTATTAGGCAGCGAGAGCCCTGATCACAAGTTTTATGTGTTGTACAAGGAACGGCTGAGGGATCCGGGGCTGTTCAGCTGGCGGAGAGGAGATGGAGGTGAGACCTCCTGGCTCTCTGCAGCTGCCTGAAGGGAGGCTGTAGCGAGGCGGGGTTGGTCTGTTCTCCCTCCTGGAGAGTGACAGGACGAGGGGAAACGGGTTTAAATTGCACCAGGGGAGGTTCGGGTTGGATATCGGGAAGAATTTCTTTCCTGAGAGGGTTGTCAGCCATCGGAACAGGCTGCCCAGGGAGGGGCTGGAGTCACCGTCCCTGGAGGGGTTTCAGAGACGGGTGGGTGTTGTGCTGAGGGACACGGGGCAGTGGTGTTGATGGGGCTGGGACAGAGGTCGGACTCGATCTTGAAGGTCTCTTCCTACTAAAACTGTTCTATGATTCCATTATTCTATTTTCCTCAAGTACCTCCCACAGAAGAACACACACGCTGGGAACCATATTGAGAGGGAAGAGCAGAAAGGAGCAAGCGCTGAAGGCTGCGCTGTAACAAGAGCTGGCTACGCTTCCCATGTTTTCCACCTGGATCCAATCCTCAACTCCAGCAAGTGCAAAAGAAGGAAGACTTCGCACGTATTCTCTGCAGAAACGGCACAGATTTGGCCCAACCTCTACCCAATTACCTAATTAATTAGTACCCATACTTTTTTCGTAAACTAATGCGTTTAAAAAAAATAACAACCCCCAAACCTCTCTCCGCAATGCTGACCCAAGGCAGGTTCACGTGGCACCCAGCTGAGCTCACCGAGCATCGGCCAGCCTGGGGCTCTACAGCCCAATCCTCGAGCACCAAATGGGGCAAATCTACACCTATCACCAGCTCCAACTCTTTCTAGGGCCCAGAGCCAGATCTGTTCTAAACACCGGAAAATCAGCTAAGACAGCAAGTTTCACAGGTTATCTACCACCTCTGAAACATAACCCCCTGTCCACTACATCTTTCATCAACTAACTGCATTTTCTTGTTACCCATGATGAAAGAACTGCCCTGTCCTTTCACTTCTAAATTAATTCAGGATTTAGAAATTCACTGTCACTTTTCACTGTCAACTCTTGTTCTTCCTTATGCAGTTTTAAACAGTATCTGGAAACTAAAGTTAATACATCTGTCAAATTAAGATCAAAGTAACTTTCTCAGTCTGTTCTGTATCTGTCTGACAGAGTTATGATTAAGAACATGCTTAGTACAGAGAAAGCAGAAATATCTACCAAAGCATTTTGTGTCTCAAAACAAGATGAAGCAGCATGTTTACTGTGAAACCCAACTAACTCTAAATGAACAAAAGCCTTCCAAGTATTCCCCAGTTTTCTCAGTAAACACAACAGAACAGCAACTCAAACAGAGGTCCTGGATCACAGCACACCAGGTCAATCTTTATCACAAACAGACAGTTCCAAAAGTAAAGAATGTTTTGTCCCACAAAGCATTAGAAAAATGTTCTGCAGCCTCATGGTTATTTACATCTCAGATTTTCAGGACAGAACCAGAGCACAGAAAGCCCACACTACAACTGTCTAGCTCCAGTTCTTCTCCCTGTTGACATTTTCTCTATGGGATTAACGTCCAAGTTCTCAGTTCTCCCATAAAAACAATTCTTTAGTTTCCTTGTTTTAGTTTGATTCAACCCATCGCAAACACAGATGCCCGGAACTGCTCATGAGCAGGTTCACTACATGTCAGATGCTCACATGTGCTGCCCCTAAGAACACAGCTGCCCTTTCAAAAATGCATCACTTCATGCTCTCTCACTGGTGAACTGGACTATTTGGGTATTTTTCTCCTCGGCAATTTTTCACTGCTAAACTCCCAGGTTATATAACTAGAATTTGTTTCAAGCCTGAACAGGTCACAGTACTTCTGTATTTGCTCACCTCCTACTCCTGTTGACCATTGTTATTCATGTAACTATTAAACAAGATCAGCCCAATAACTGAACTTTGGCTTCACCAACAGCCTCTAACCCTCCCAGCTTCTTCACCTGAAGACAACCCCTCTTTCTTTGAGCCGCCTTCTCTACACATCTTGTACTTCCTCTATCCACCTCTCTAGTTCAGTAATTTCCAAATGACACAACTCAGAAGCAAAGACAGAAGAGCTGTTCTACTGGTCCTCTGTGTAGGAAAATCACTTTTATCCAACTGTCAGCCTTTAAATGCAATTTCTCTGAAAGCATGCCGTACTTCAGTAACATTCTTCAGTTTGCCTGGCTTTAGCACGACTTTGGAAAGAGGCAAGTGAAGTCAGAGTAACCACATTGGAAACCAGCCAGATTACGTTTTCTTTTAAGGGTAGGTAATTTAGAATTTGATGTTCCAGCCACATACTACATCACAGATGTAAAATATTTATCGACAACACCAGATATCAGACCTCGTATTTCAGGTACCCATTTCCTCAGTAACTTGATGTGAGTTTTCCTTCTACTCTGAACTGACAACATTCAGCTATTAACTTTTAGCTTTGCTTCTACCTTGTCATGTTCTTTCTTTTTTTTAATCCACATTCCTAGCTTAGCTTCCTCAAATTCCTGACTTTATGACTAGTGTCCCCACTACAAAGTGAGGCAACAAGATTCATTTCGAACATATTTGAGTATTTTTTTCATTTAACTTTAGCATCACTTTCTTTTCATTCTTTTCAGTACTCGATAAACCTTAGTCTATGTTTTCATGCCTTCAGCAACGTCTAACTCAATCTGACTATTTGTAGGTAATTCTCATATTATCTATTTCTCAAACTAGAAACAGTTTTATTATTAGTCCTTTTCCCCATTCTTCACAGACTCTCTGCTTATTCCTTATTTCTTATGAGGTAGGTAAGCATCCAGTTCGCTGGGAGCCCGTTTCTAACGGGGCTGTTTCTTCTTTCTGTGGAACACAGATCCAATACAGCATTAGCAATTTGGAACCGAAGAAACTTTTTACATCCTACCTGTTCAAACACCCAAGTTGCTGAGACCACGACTTTACTGCTTTGTTTCTTCAACCACCACTTTTGAAATCAGAACCTTTAGTTTACAGACCTGTTTTGCTTATCCTTCCATTTAAACTTGAGCAACTCAGGATCCCTCAAGTCAACGGTCATTTCTATTCTCATCCATAACATCTTCATTACTTACCAAATTGAGTTTAAAATAGCATCCCCTCTTCATGAGTCAGTGAGTGTTTGATGAAGAAATTTGTCGGATATCACATCCAGGAATATCTGGGCCCCACCATTATTACTAGCAATTCTTCTCCAATCTGTATCAGGGAAGTTAAAGTCTCCCATAATGACACAATTCCTGGTAGTAATTTTCTCTAATAAGAGTAAAGAGATCTTTAATCCATAACCAAATCTCACTTTGGGGATAGCTCATGACTATGGTTGTAAAAAGCTTAATCTTTTTCCCACGTTACTTAAGTTGCACATGTCTGCATTATCCCTTTTGTACAATACAAGTGGAACAAACAATGCTACTCCTACCACTTCTGCAGTTTCTAAACATGCACATTCTTCAAAAAATCTGTATTCAGCCTTATCACCTACTACTCCACAGCCACACTGCCTCATACTGACTCCATGCTCTCCCAACAGTTCAGCTGTGTCAGACATTTTTGGTCACGTTCTTGATTTGAGGAGTCTGGATTTCTTTGGTTTACTTGTTTCAAGTATGGGGTGTTTTTTAAAACTATTACTTTTCTCATTGACTACAGCTGTTTTCAAGCCAGACTGTCAACACAACTTTATCAACTACATTAAAGGTGACTTCATTTTAGTGTTGTTTATCTTCTCTTTCTGGACTAGATACATTTTTTTTCTCTGGCACTGTGTCTTTTCCTTCTCAAATAGAAAAAACACCACCTGACTCCTCAATCCTTCTTTCACTAGCCAGCTCCTTTTCCTTCCAAGGATGTATCTATAGAAAGACCCTATTATATTCCTTTCGCAACTGTCTGTGGTTTCATGTGTGTGCTCGTCTCAAAACCACACCTGGACCTCAGTAACATCATTCAGGTGTTATCTTAAGGCTGAATCACTGAGGCACAAACTCTGCTGGAAGACAAACAAAACGATGCTCCCTACTCCCTTCATTTCCTGACACTTCTCACACATTCCAGCATCTAGTTATTTGTGACATCCAAGTCTTTTTCTACTGCTATGACAGTTCCGTGTCTTTTGTTCTTGTATTAAGAAAATATAGCAAGAGGAAGAAATTCCACTGTCAATTCCTGCTCTTGGGCAGGTTCCTCGTGGCTGTAGTTCTGAAGCTCTCTCCAACAGTTTGGTGTTGAGGCCAGCTATGAACTAGCAATATCATCATATCCTTGGCCTCAGCCCCTTTCACAACCAAATAAAGTCTCAGTAACACTCAACATACCCACGTGCACAACACTCAAACTGCAGCCAATTCCAAGTGACACACCCATGCCCTGACACAGTGTCCCTCCTCACCAGGACACACACTGTGTAAACCTAACTCTAGAGCAGACTCAGTTGCTGTGTGCCCCCCATGAAGTGCTAATAACCTTATCGCCCATGGCACAGCTGCTTTTTTTTTTCTTTTTTTTTCAGAAGGGTCAATCCCCTTCCAGTTAGGAGCTGGCCATTTTAAACAGCCAACATTTACACCGCAGTAGAGCACAAAAGTCCCCATTAGTACAGGGAACAGTAAAGATAAAGAGATCAAGTCTTGAGATGAATTAAGTGAACTCTGAGAGATTTGCCAAAAACAATGCAAAACAAATCGTGCCCATCAAAGCTGTCATATACTGTCGTCGTTTATTTGCTCATGGATTTGCAACGTTTTACAGTTTGTAAAACATCCTGTAATACCTATGTTCTCGCTTTAAAAGATCACAAAAGGTTGGTAAGTACCTCTTATCTCAAAATTATAAGCATAAATTATTTCTGAAAAACAAACAGATGGTCATTTCTTACCTGCCACAGCCCCAAATGCCAAAGATCCACTCATCTGCAGAGCCTGCTGTGCAGCCGGGGGAATCTGCAAGCCAGTACCTGGGAAAAACCGGGAGCATACCTTGTAGCAACCACTTCCCACTCCCAGTCAGGGATGCAGTAACAGTGTTACAAATCTTACTGTCATCAAAAGCTTAAAAATACCATTCCATGCATTTAGTGTAATATTCTGTGGGGTGATTAGCTCAAATTCTGTGAACTTCTGTATTTTCACATGGTTCTGTTACTGTCACACATACCTTCTGCAAGCCTTGCCATCAACTGAAGGCGACCAGTTGTTCCCAAGTCAATTCCGGTCCGTTCCAACTCATCACTGTCCAAAAATGAACTAGCACTGGAAGCATCAGTGCGCTCGGTTACGTGTCCGACTTTCATGGGCCTACCAGCCAACTCAAATCCATTGAGTTGTTCCAAGGCCTTTTTGGCACACTCAGAGTCTGAGAACTGTAGATCGGAAAAAAACATAAATTCAACAATGCTGCCCAGAGGATTCAGCAACACTTCTGCCGTATGCAAGATCCAGTTACATGAATGTGAGAAACACTGAAGTTAACGGTAGCTATAAACTAACTTAAATGTGCTCCATATTTTCCATTTCAACTGAACATACAGAAGCTTGGATATTTATTATCCCATATTTAGGTAAGAATATATTTAAATATATGTTCTTTTTAAGCTAGAACATCTAGATATTGCAATCAACAGAAGTCATGGCTGTGATTCTCTTTAAATGCTTTCCAAGAATGAGAGTCACTTCCTTTGTAACCGCCACACATTTACCGGCTATCCCTAGCGGATGTTCTGCTTTTTGAGTGCAACATCAAACTGAATATACACTATTTCATCAGTGTTAAAAACATCAACTATTAGCTATATAGTCAGTTTGGTTTTATTTGTCTCCAGGTGCCAGAGGTCCCAGCCCAGACTTTTTTTTGAATGACAAACTGCCAGGTCAGTTAATAGACCCAAGTTCACAAAATTATGTTATCTGAGGGTAAAGAGGAAAGACATTTTCAACTCTTAAAGTTTTAGCTTCCAAAACTTCATTTCCCCTAAAAAAAAAAGCTCCTATTCAATGATTTTCACAGCACTGAAAATGCCATTCATGACGAGGATCTTTGCCCATAGAAGACAGCATTGCTTAACCAAGCAGTGACCACAACGTATACTATTCCATTTGAAACACGTGCGCTGTTCAATCAAAGTCAGAAACTAAGAAAGAGGTCACTGTTGCGTGTTCTGCAACATGACATTTCTAACACGAGGCTTAACAGAGACTGTCAAGCAAAATACGCTATGAGATGGGAAGGTTACACTCGGAAATTGTCTAAGTAGTTTGGCAACTCTACTCATACCGTAATGAAGCCGTATCCTTTTGAGCGTCCAGTTTCACTATCCATCATCAGCTGAATGCTTTCAATCTAAAAATAAAGACATTTTGGAATAAACCATAAGGTATCAAACCAAAACCAGAATACAACCCTGCCAAAGACACATACACAAACGTGAAAACCATTATTTATTTTTTAAATCTGTTCCTTACTCCTTCCTCAATTCACAGTTCGTACACAGGCAGCTGGACAGGTACTTTGATACTAAACCAGAAGCAAATAAACATAAGGGTGACGTACAATTTATTCTGTAGCCCAGCTACAGCCAGGGGTTTGGTCCTGATGCAACATTCTAGGTGACAATGAGTGTTTAGACATCAAATCCTAAGTGAAACATGATAGTCACGGCATCTCATACACTGAACTCCACTTCGCAAGGTAAGGAGTTTGCATGACTTGGTCCAGGAGCTTTAAAAAGGAGCATATTTTAAATAATTATTGGCACTGGGAACTCCTGGAAGTTTACAGTTACTGAATTAAAAATATACTTAAGTCATCCATGAGCCCTAAAACAGTCTTGGGAAGAGACAGCAACACAGCAGTAAGAAGAAGAATTGAGTTTAAGACTGGAGGATGTGCAATCAGGATAACCAAAAACCTTCACAGCTCTACATGTAAGCTGCCTAAACTACGATAATCCTCCTGCCAGACGTTGAGAGAAAACAAAACAGGAACAGCTATGCAGATTAAAATTTAATGAAATCTTGCAATTTTCCTGGCTTTTGCACAACTCAGTTAAAGGCACAGACAGACTGAATCTGAATAAGGCATCTGAAAAGCAGCGTTACAGCATGCGTGAGGCAGGTTCACATCCAAAAATAGTACGAAAAACAATGGATTTTTTTCCACATTAAGCAACATATTATGTTTATTATTTCTTCCTTACCTAAGGACAACACACCCATGATACCTTAGTTAGCACAGAAGAGTTAACATTTATTATGCCTCCACTGGAAACTTCCCATTCGATTTGCTCACCTCCATAACTCTCTTAACAAAAAAAAAAGTATTACACTGTGCCGCAACCTGAGGCCTAATGGTCAGGAGCGACCCGGCTCCTGTGTCAGAGCTGCAGGGGACACCCTACTAGTTCATGGCAGTAACACGAGCTAAAACTGAGGCAAAAAGTCTCAGAAACAGACGGAACTACAATAGTCACAGTAAACAGAGCTCAGACGCTGTGCTTTGTGCTCTAACCTGTGAAACAGGGCCCCCACCCACAAACACGTGGCAAGGGGAACATAGTTATAATCCACAGAAGCAGAATGTAATGCAAAATTTTATTTTGTTTTATAATTTTAGGGACCCACTGAATTCTCAGCTTTCCTTCCTAAGAGCTGCCAGTCATAATCCCCAGAATAAATCATAAGTCAAAGTTCTCACTTATTCCCAATTACTGGGTATACACCTAAGATCCTGTGGATGTACAGGCACAGAAAAGTAAGAGAAAAACCAATGTTTTACAGAAGGGAAACTCTGTTTCCGGAAGCTTTGAGTACTCTAAAGCTAATCCACGTTTTTCAGATAAACTACCATAACACAACATGCCAGATTAAATACTTACCCTGCCAAATGGCTCAAAAATTCCTCGAAGCATATCTTCAGTGATGTTGAAGTGTAATGACCCCACATAGAGTCTCATAGGACCAGCACTGCCCTTCTGCAGATTATTTGCCATTGCTGCTGCTCTGTTTTTCTCTGCCTAAGAAAAGGATAAAAGAAACAACTCACTTTCTGCAAGAATTTAATAAAACACTCTAGCATAAGCAGTATATATGTACCAGATTAAACCAGCAGATTCACCAGAAAATACAGGTTGGTTTATTATCTGCATGCTATCCATCAGACTCTAACTTAAAAATCTACAAAACCCAAGACCATGAGACCAAGTATAGAGACACAGCTTCGAAAAGTCTTCAAATGATGGATGAAATTCATTAAAAGCTCTAGCTTGTATCTAGTTAACTAACACTTTACTTTTTACACATGCTGGAAACCTACATAATATATATCGCACTTCCATAAGCATTACACTTTCATTATTACCACTTTAACGTCTGTATTTTCAAAATGCATTTATATTGTTTTGAATTGCTCTATTTGCCTGTCAACCACGGGAAACAAAAGGTCCATCTATAATGAGCCTAAACAATAACGCTTGTCAAGGTTTTCCAAACGTTCAACAGTAAGCAAATTTTCAAACACCAAGTTTTCCAGCAAGAGGCACCACTCCACACGAATGCAAGTGAGATGAACAAGTCCTTACCTGCGACGCTTGTACTATGATGGGTACGCCCAAGACCCTCTGTCCAGTTAGTCCGATTGCCAGAGGGACTGAACTAACATCCACAAACTCTACATAAGCAATTCCCTTTGAACGCCTCGAATTTCTATCCGAAATCATTCGCACATCACGGACCTAAAAGGCAAGTACAGAAACACGCTTGAGAGAGAAGGGGAAAAGAACCCAGAACAACTAATGTGGTCCATTTCTCAGGAAGGTGTTAATAACCAGACAACTATTTGTTAAGCCAACAGCTCTGTAACTATGCTGCAAATCTAGAGTAGCATCAACCTGTTGGAAGAAGAGTACCTGAGAGGCAAGGTGGCAGTAAAAGCTGCCATTCCAAGTCAAATGTGCTACGCTATGGCAACTAGGGGCAATGGAATACTTGCAGCGCTGTAATACTTTAAGTCAGAACCTTACAGCTGATGGAACACGTAAAAATTTTTCCAAATCAGAAGTGAAACTATTTTTTTAAACTACACTCTATCTGGCAGACCTATCCACAGAAGACAAACATCTGAAAAATGAAGTTGCTTAAATCAGAATGGCATCACCATGTTTTGTATCAGATTACATGCTGAACGACAAACTCCTGATAAATTAGGCTTTAATGGTGAGAGACTTAAAAAAAAATTAGTTGGTCGTCGTTCATCCCCCCTTTCACCTGTACAGGAAGCTCCAGAAAGCCACTGGTTTACAGTTCTGCAGAGTATCAATCCTGGGCTAGGACAGCTTGAGGAAGCATTCAGAATCATTTGAGCCTCCCTATTAATTACCTTTCCTACTGTAGAGAAAAATTCTTCCAGATCTCTTGGTCGAATTCTTGCAGCCAGCTGCATGCAGAATACTGTTCGAGCATCCCTCTCCTCAGGGGTAAGATTATCAATAGGTTCTCTGGAAAGAAGAAGATTCAGTTAAAAAATAATCTGAATCAAGATAACTCATCTCTGGACCTTGCATGCAAACTTCAAATAACGAGTACTTCAAAGTCTAATGGTGAGGGGAAATAAACGGTTTCCTATATTAAAAAAGGCAGGGTCTAGAACTGAAGGGAATGAGGGAATCCCTAATAAATGAAAAAATAATAACAACAACTTATTCCTTTACCATGACTAAGCATCCTGTTTCAACTGTAAGCATTAAGTATGAATGGGAAACTGTATTTTAATTAGAGAAGCCTGAATTAAACAGAGGTGCCATTTTGCTACCATCCAGAACAAGTAACAGTATCACTAGGGAGCCTGCAGTCAGAAACATGAGATGAAAGGGTGGGAAAAAGGAAAACGGAACTAATTAGTACAGATTTTTATTGTGGGTTTGCAAACTAACCTCTCGCATCAACCCAGTCACTTTAGCGTCACTACAAGCACTGCATAAACAATACTGACATCTATGCAAACATCAGTCCTCATTTTACAGTTTCAGCTTGTTAACCCATAACAATTATGAATAATCAATAATTACTCTCATCCTTCATATCAGAAGCACTAGATTAATTTTATCTCAATACTGATCGCTGAAATTACATACACCACTTTTAAGATGTTAAAGCTTCAAATCTAAAAACTACTTATACTTAAGTACGGGACAAAATCAGCATGCTGGATCCTGAACTGTAAACAAAATTTAGACTATCTCAGTAAAAGTTCAATAATAATTAAAGAAAAACCAAACCAACAACAAACAAAAAGTGAAGCAAGACTGGTTAAATTTAACCTCATTAATTTAGAGAATGATCTCATTAGTAGCTATCTAAATCCAGTTCCCTTAAGCAACAAGCCCAAGAACGGATAAACCTGTCCTGCATTTCACAGGACTGGGCTGGTTTACAAGTAACATCAACGCACACCGAGTAGGACAGAGACACATTTGTACAGTACTTCTCCGTTTCTTACTTAAGAAGAAAGACTTAGCAGAAAAAAACAGCTAATTTAAGTCACAATTAATAGGAAAAAGATTGATAATACAGAAAAACAAAAAAAGCAAAGCAAGATGTGTTTTGCAAACTGACATTATTGACAACTGTATACTTTTACTGCGGAGGGGAAGAGAGAGTTTGTGACACAGGGAGAAAGCAACATATTTCAATGCTCTCTCTCATGGGCTTTCTGAAGGAATTCCAGCATTACTTATAAGCTGGAGAGCAAGGAGTCAGGTATAGTTTCACCATTACTTTTCCAACTTCAGGTAGACAAAAAAACCAAACAACCAAACACATCACCCAAAAGCACATAAAAATTCCTACCTAACAGGGCTCTTGTCTTTTCTGAAGGGACTCTTGCTTCTGGAGCGTCGTCTGCTACAAAGAGAGATTGAAAGGATTATAAGACAACCTTCAAATATACCAGTCTGATTTTAAACAAAACCTATTCATGAAGCAATTAAAAGAAGAGAAAACTCAGAAACCTTAATTTGATGCTGTGAGGCAGACCAATCTTCCCTCTGATGGAAATGTTGAATTTTGGTCCAGAACTACGGCAAAAGCAAACACAGACATTACTCAGCAGAGTACACAAATTCAGATTCCCAATGTACTCGCATTGTATCGCAAGCGCTCCCCCACCCTTCCACCTGACCCTGTGAACATTAGCAGCACCCCTAGCATGCACAAGCTCCATGCAGCACCCCAAACCGTAAAGCTCAGTTTCACCTGAATCACAGAACCTCAGAAAACACAGGACTCCAAGGAAGAACTGAATCAAGAGACAGCCAGGCATGGCACATTTGTTATGTGCAAAATACTCTGAGCTACAGTCACTGCTGGAGTCATCTTCCCGTGTTTTTATGTTCACGTGCACGCTGCACCTACTGACGACTGCAAAGCAATACCTGAATGGCCTGGAACTCGGCCTCAGAGGGTCAGTGTTCTGAGCAAAGTGGTACCTGCAGAACTCTTGTAACATTTTAAAATCCAAAGTTGCGTGAAATTTAAGGTGCAAGTGGAAATCAAAGCAGCTCCCTGCAGACATCTTCAAGGCATACATTCACTAATGTTGTCTCAGTCCTAGCCACTACAGTGCTGTAATATGCAAATACAGCTTCCTTTATTTAAAGTCCTTAATCGACACTGGAACACAGAGCCACTTCAGCCAGCAGTTAACCTTAGGTAGGTATGTCACCACGGGCAGAATCCAATCTCTTGGCTGGATCTAAGTTTAGATCTCCAAGCTTCACACAGGCTGTTAAAACAAATGGCAACCTGCCTGCTCCTTCCACGTCAAGGACAGTCCTCTCGCTAGTTATCGTGGCATGCACAACACCACAACAGCAATAGCAAGATTCATGCTGTCATGTTCTCCCTGAAGTTGATCTTGTAGATCCACGGCAAACCCCACAACCTGTTAACTCTCTTCCTGCACAGGCACCGAGTGGCAGGGCACTGCTGCACACACCAAATGCCAGGGGGTTTGTCTCTCCATCTGCACAGAACTGACTCTTTCTGCTGCAGCTATAAATTGATGCAAAAACACCCCGAAAGTCACAGCAGTCTGAAGGCATTAAGTAGTGTTTCACTAAATCCATTTTGCCAAACGATTTGTCTGATAAACAACTTCTTGCTAGTCAGTGTTGCACTACTGCCCATTTTTAAACACGTCATGATACAGCTCAAAGTAACGGGCCACAATCCAAACCCATGCTGGCCAGGCTACAGTATGGGAAATATGTCCCTATGTAACACCACGGGAGAGAAAAGACCATTTAGAAACTACTTTCCAAGAGAAAGCAACTACTTAGTAAGAGAAAATAAGACATAAAGAAGAGGCGCATGTTGAGATGAGATCTCCATTATCAAACCCAGACTTTTTTGGTAGTATAAATGACTTTGTTTCCTGCTCCAGACAAATGACTGCTGAGAGCATCCATTCAGGTTCTCCAACATCTGTAGCACATACTGCCAAAAGCTGCAAGTGGAAACATCGGTACTAATTCCAGACTGGTTCTTATCAGAGATGGGATTACCTTACTTCTTCACATCTCGTGATGCAGAACATAGCGTTCTCCATTTCAACTCAAATGCAGCAAGGCACTGCAGCAACTACAGTGACTCTAGAGTATTAACATGCAGATCAACTAAATAATCAAGACCATGAGCTTTTAAGGGAACAGTGAAAAGAAATGTTTTAAGTGCTTGTCTAAACCTAATGAAAAAAAAAAGAGAATGTACACAGTAACAGTTTTCAAATGCATGCACAACTTGGAAGAAGAAAAAAAACCAAACCAACACACACCACACAACTCCAAACCTTTTTTCTCCATTTTCACTTTTAACAAGTAAGTAGTATCTTACACGACTACATGGGAGAAACATTAGAAAAACCCAGCAACCTAAAGCCCTAACAGATCACTGGAACAGACTGAGCAGAAAGCTGCCTGTGGCAGGATGATGTCCCAAGATGCCTTCTGAAGATCCTTTTTCAGCAGTATTCTGCAGGATGCACTTTTTCACACAGAGATTTGCTTGTAAAGCTGTAGATCTCAGGAGAATTTTATTCTTTCCACTTGCTGCTAAAAACCCTTTTAAAATTGGTGCTTGGTTCCTGCTATGTACAGAAGCACTGAGTCCCAGGCAATTTATCTTTACATCCAGGGGCTACCTTTCTCCTAAGCCAAATGCATGAAGGCCTGCACACAGCCACAGCCCAGCGAGGTACACATTCTCCTAAACCTCCATGATGTCACACAGATCCAAGAACAAGCCAGGTCAGAAGACAGGCAGCAAGGTATCAGCTTTCACCCGCTCAGGTATATCCAAGACTCCCAATAAAACTGTCTCAGATAAGGCAAGCACTGGCTAACCAAGTCCAGGAGAATCACAATGAACTTTCAGTCCTCATTTAATAATCTTGTTTCGTTGTTTTCTCAGCAGCTTTGCTCAAATTCTTCGTTCCAAAATAGCAACAGGACAGTCCAAGTGTTTTCTACTGTAAGTCAGCAGTAGTGGCATTTGTCAGAGATGTCTAAGCAAGAATACTCTGCTAAGTTCTTTCTCCACTTACGAGAGAAGATATACAAGAACAACATTAAAAAAAAAACCCTGTGAACACTGAGCGATGCAAGCCAGTCACCTCATTAAAAGTGATGAAATGACTTTTTAATTTCTTTATCTCACGCTTGAAGATGACAGATTCAAAGTCCTTGGAATCTCTGTTGAAAACTCTTTTCCTTTCCTTCAGCATTACCTATGCTAGACTTCCTCTTCTCACTCCTGCAGTGACACTTCCACGTCACCCCCCACAGCAAAAACAACTCAATTTAGAGATATTTGCTTGTAATGGGCCTTTATAAATCAAATGAGAAAGAAATATGGAAAAATAGAAATGAAAAAATAGAGTCACAAAGCATTTTAAATAGATGTTGCAACCAGCTGCAACACTGCCTGCAGTAACACCAACTCAGAACTGTCTGAACAGCCCCACAAGGTGAGATTCCCGACTCAAATTCTCCAGCCAGTGAGAGCATTCTGGTAGTTACTTCCGAATCGCTGAGCTGATGGCACTACTGCAGAGACTGTTTCTTCATAGGAAAGCACCGTTTCCAGTAGATCCAAAGGTATCTGATCCAAATAAGGCTGCTGATGCACAAGGCTCCATCTCTGGAACTTCTGTCTCCCTGAAAGTCAGCGCCTGTTTTTAAAGGCGAGGCTCCACATTGAAGAGTCATGAACAGGAAATGAAGAGCAGTTCTCTCTCCTGTCTCCTGAGGTCCTTCTCTTTCACACCTTCTGATGCAAAACTAGAATTTTGGAATTGCGTTAGCATGTGTATCATTTGAACAGCATCATCTGTGACCTACAAGAGAACAACAGCAGAACTGCTGGCTGCACACCAACAACTGAAGCAGGGAAGACAGCACTGCCAAACCAGTAAGCACAACCTTGTATCCTCAGGGGATACTACATTACCTCACTTTTTTGTTCACAGTCTCTCAATACCAAATTGCCCAGAGAGCTATGGAAAAGCATCAGAACCACGAAGAAGGTTCGTTGTAATCATCTATTTTGCCGGCACAACACATCTTGATGCATTAAAACAGGCATGAGTTGTAGTAACATGCGTAATTTCCTAAAGTAGAGGCTGAAATTTCTCCAAGTGATGAACCTTCTCACCCAGTGATGACAGGAAAAACAAAGAACAAAAACCTGAGGCAGCCAGGAGACTGCAGCAACTCCCCCCCAAGTGATGAGATGAAGGACATCCTCTCCACACTGGAGATCAGAAGACCAGCAGGCTCCACACACGGAAGAGTGAAGATTTTGATTGAGGTCCTCTGCTTCTGAGGCAGTCTGAAGCCGTAACAGTGGCACTGGCACAACCCAGCCAGCTACTGTAGTCTTACAGACACCAAAGAGCTGTAGAAAACCTGCCAGCTGTGATCTTCAGAGCTGAAGTCCAAAAGCGGCCCTGTAGAGGCATGGCCAGGCCTGATACTTGAGAGAAAGTAAAAGCAGAGCTGATATGCTCTGTGACCTGCGCATGGCCAGGCCTGATACTTGAGAGAAAGTAAAAGCAGAGCTGATATGCTCTGCGACCCGTAAGTACCCAGGGCTGAGAGAAGCCCCAGATGCCACTGCATCTTAACAGAGTCAGAAGTTGCGCTATGTTTCCGTTAGGAAAATGACGACATCCAGGTGCAAACGGAGCTTGAGACCTCAGTCATCTTTCGTCCCATTTCAAGACTACCAAAAGGAACGCATTCTCTGGACTGGGACCCAGCCACCTACAAAAGCATTTATGTGCAGAAAACTGTACAATCTTGCAAAAGGTAAATGCTGTCTTTTCAAAGATCTTGATATTTCTCCACAGACATGACTAAAGGGACACATCCTATCCAAAAGCCTGCTTCTGACATGATCTTGCATTCAGAGATTTGACAACAGTTGACATCAGACCCAGACAAAAGCAGACACAAAATGCAGTTTCAGGTAACCAACAAAAGCCAAGCACACAGTCCCAGTTCTCACTGTTCTGCTTCTTTGGAGACCAAAAGAGATGGTGGGGAGCAAAGGGGAGGACAGGAATACAAAACAGCAGAAATATAAACACCAATGAAAAAACTGTTTTTGAGAAATGATTTACAACTGTTGGGAACTACCTATACCAGAAGTTCCATCAAGCTAAAGACCCAAGAGGAACTGAAGAACTTTTCCAGAGTCTCTAAACCAGTTTGAGAAATCGCACGGGACAAATACGTAACGCATGGGCATCACTAAGACAAGACGCCTCCAATCTGCCATGCCTAAACACAGGAAGTATTCCCACAGTTCAGTGTTTAAGAAGAGCAACCCAGTAAAAGCCTTCAGGAATACAAGCGAAAGGTTTTATGAGCCTGTAACCAAAGTCATAGACTAATACTAATTTTTTGAGAATTATTACCATCACATACTGAAGTATATATATCTTCATACACTGAAGTCAGTCAGAAAACTTGCCCGGTATTTTAACTCTGTGATAAACATTTTCCAGTCAGCTACACACATTCTTTCATTTGCTTTTGCATCTTTTTATGTTTAGGTAAGAAAGAAAACCAGTAGGAGAGCTTGATACATTACTGTTCTCCTCTTTTACACTCTGCATTTAGTGATGCTCTTCACCCTTACTTAGCCTCTCACATTCTTTTCTGAGGTTATCAGTGATCACTTTAGAAAGCATAGAGCAAAACTTTAAGCTTCCGCATCACACACTGAAGCAGCACACGTTCCACTCTGCATAAATAACCTACTAGGGACTTCTATAGCGGCCTCTGAATCTGCGATCTCTACTTCTGGAACGGCTGCGTCTGCGCTCTTTGCTTCTGCTCCGCTTCCTCTCCCGGCTTCTGCTCTTTTTCCTTTCCCGATCTCGGCTCCGTTTGCGTTCCTTACTTCTGCTCCTCTTCCTATCATGGCTTCGACTTCGGCTCTTGCTCTTTTTTCTCCTGAGAAAGAAAAATACAACTTTGGTTACACACGTAGCTTAGTGTTACTATCTACCTCACATTCCACAGCTCCTTTAACCTGATGTCACAGACAACGATAGGAAAAACTTCCTACGTCTTGGTATTTATACAAGTTTCTTTTGTGAAATGGGTGGTTAAGTTTATCAGCAATTTTTAAAAATTTATCATGAGCAACATCAAGTGCTCCAAAGCTTTTTTTTTATCTTAAGTTTTGTGATCACGAAAGAATGCTTCCAGGAAAAATAAAAGGCTTGAAGAAGTATCTCCTGCATCATATCTAGTACGTACTAAACACAGTACTTCATGTGTCTTTCAAAAATACTTCAAATACACCATCATGATGCCAAGAAAAAAATTACATTTTTACAGTAAAGTAAAAAAAAAAAAAATCACAAGGAAAAAGTAAGTCATAAGTCTGAGAGACAGGAAGGTTGTCTTCTCTTGATGCTCCCTGCCATCAGTCTTAAGACTCTGCCTAAAAGTTCTGCTTCCTACCTGCTACTCTCACACATAGACCACTTGCTTTTCCTAAGTCTGTGGCTCTTACAGGATTGGGGCAAAGAGCAGATCTTCACAATTTTCACCATCTACTTAGAAAATCTAAACTTTTAAAATCTGTAAGACAATTAATACATCATATTTGAACATGAGTGAGCCAGTGTTCCATTCCTGACAGATTAATTTTGATTTTTTTGCAATTTTTTGTGTCTACCTTGGATGATAAAAACATAGAGCCTCCTAGTTTTTAAAAACGTTGATGTACGTATACATAAAACACATTAAAGAGATGCTCAAGCAGTTACTTAAGACAGTAATTTATCTCCATCTAAATTTTGTGAATAACCAACTTTGTTGCTAAACTTTTGAAACAAAGTATTCTTTGCTACTGAATTTTTCCTCTCCTTTCAGGCCTTCTGATTACATACACCATCTTCTTTCAAAGGGGTCTCAAAACTCTCAACAGCTTTGCATGCCACACTCGTCTTTAGAAAAAGTTCATTCCTGTTACTTTACACGGCCATGTATAAACTAGGAGATCTAGCAGTTAGTTTCAATTACTAACACAAAAAATCTCTCAGGTGCCACATCTAAATGCGTTTCTTCACCACTAGCAGCTTTTGCTCTCCAATCTCCACCTAAGAAGATCCCCTAGAACTGTCTTAGTATCTATCTCTCAAGAGAAATATGTTGCGATTTGGTTTTAAAAACTGAAATATTTCAATTGATTATTTATCTACAACAGCCCATCGGTTTCTTTATTATTTTTGTACGGACATAGAAGCTGCTGCATCAAGATCTTAGATTTTGTGTGCGGCTTTCAGTAATTGTCAACTCACACTAAATCTCAACTTTAGAAGTTGGAAGGATTAAGGCTGTGAAGTCTGGCTAGATGTCTGTAGTGCCCAGTTTAATCATGACTGGAAGACGGAATGGGGACCTTGACTGCTGGAGTCTTTGCATGCAAAGAGGGTTCAGCGCCCAGTTGGGTAGTTCTAATATTCTACCATGAACCAAGGTGAGAACCAATTCTAAAATTTGAAAACCACTGCTCTTCTTTCAGATTCCACTTTATACTTTGAGACTAGCCAACAAACAGCAGCAGTGTTTTACATGCTACGTATACATATTTTAAAACAACAAAAATTTAGAATTGCCTTTGAAGGGGTTTTAAGGTTCCCAATACTTGGCATGAGAATGCTGTTCAGGGCACTGTTTATAACACACATAAGGTATAACCAATTTCAGAATATCAGGTTCCAACATAAGTCTAATGTTGGACTTCTCAGTTCCCAAATATTTATACACCTGCAAAAAAACATTCTTTGAATCCCTTCAGCACTTCATGGGTATGATTTCAGATGACAACAGCATATCTGCTGATTTCTTGAGTTTGCCATTTATTACAGAAGTGCAGCGGTTACTGTTAACTATCAAATTCATAATTATTCCTCCTACACCAATCACCTCATCCTCAAATGATGTTTGTAAGGAACGAATTTATTTTGCAGACTTAAAAAAATCTCCCATTTATCTGCTGTTTCTAAAAGATTGTCATGCAACGCAATTTTCTTCATATTTCTGCTTCAATTTCAGACTGTTTGGGTGACCAGCAGGTGTTCAGACCCTGAAATTATTCTTCCTGAAGATGGGCTTGTCCAAGCCTTATGAAAATTGAGAGATTTTTGAAGGGGGGTGAATAGAGGGAGGGAATCCAACACCTTGAAGCTTTTCAAGAAAGCCCTGCTATTTCTAAATGCTTTGACATGTTCCAAATCACATACAATTCTGTACCAAATACATTTTAAAAACGCAAAATCCACTGCATTGCTAAAGCAATGAAAAAAGAAATTAAATAGACTGAACCGATCAAGTCTGTACTGCTATGTGATGCCAACACTAAATGTTTCCAAAACTTTGATGACACCAGTCACCGGGGCATAACTACATCTGAAAACTTCATAATCGCTGGCATTGCAGCTCACCGGGGCATAACTACATCTGAAAACTTCACAATCGCTGCCGTTGCAGTAACTGCGTATATCAAGCCTTTCCACATTATTTCCCTAAACTCTACTGACAGGTATTTGCAAGTTTACAAAAATCAGCAGCCTCTCCCCACACATAGAGAAATGCAAAGCAACTTACTTCTTGCTGCGTTCTTCATGGCCATTGGCACTGCTCAATTTGTTCTCATCCTAAGCAGGGTTGATAGAAGAACATCGTGAGGACGAAGCGGAAACATTTCAAGTGGTCAAAGGGTAATGGGAATAGGAATAAGAAAATACAAAACAAAAATTTTAATACTAAATTACTTGTTTACAGTTTAACGTGGAAAGTTTTAGAAAATTTAGGTAGGCATGTTTAACCACTTTGCTGCTTAAGTTTAAGTCATACAATTACAAAATACAAGACTTACATAATTTAAGAGTGTGTATTAAATTGTAGATACTTCCTTACATGGTTTAGAGAGCAAGTTATCCTGCAGAATTCAGCACTCAAGTGGTTAAATGTTATTTCTATAAAACGTAAGCGGAAGTTTCAGGTCTGTGTTTGTGTGCCCCTCTGATCAGTACCAAGGCTATATCTCTGCCTAAGCCCCAGTGACGCTAGCAGCCAGCCACTACGGATTTCCTGTGACCGATGCCATTCCCGAGATCTTCACTCATTTTCGTTGAAGGGTTGTAAGAGCTTGATGTCACCTCTGTCACACATCTCGCCCTGAAGCAAACAGGGATTCACACTGCTTTAGTAACGTCGACTCCCAAGAAAGTCATCAATAATCCACCAGTCCAGCCTAAACATTCCCTATTTCCATACCTGTTTACATGGAAAATATCCATGTTAAACCAGGACACAAGAATTTTAACATAACAATTTACAAATTTCTCTTCAAGACTTTAACGTAACTGCTAAATATTACATAAACTAAATATATCATTTAAAACTTACAAATGCTCATCCAATATTCATGACATGGTTGTAATAAACACTGGAGAATAGTCTAACAATAGCTGCTATATAATTTATATACTTGCTTTACATTTTAATCACATCAGTTACATAAAAAGTACAATTCCTAAGCAACTTAAACTGAATATACATTTCTTCTGAAACAAGTGCTAAAGCATGCATAACATTAACACTTCTCCACCATTTGGTGAAAACCAGAAAAAAAAGACAGTATTCATTTGCTGCTGGTTTAGGTAAAAGACATGACTACACTAATTGATAAAAAATTTGCAGTAGAATTTACATTTCCTAATTAAACAACTAGGACAGAAGGATACAAGAGCTTATTTTAGAATGACACCGCAGACTGTGATACTGTCTTTTACTTGCTAAGAACATTCTATTCAGGGATCCAAGAATTTCTGTAAATTCGTTCACTCAGTAATAGATTTCCATCTGCCCTGTTAAAAGATTAACCGCCACCAGTCTTCTGCATTAAAAGCAAGTCTCACTCTTCTTGCACTGAGCAGACTGTCCAAATATTTACTTGCCATGGGACTGGTGAAAAGGTTATTCTTGGAACCCTGCTGTTTTCCCAAACCACTGCATTCACCTTGTTGCTATACCAAACTGGACCTGGCAATTTTAGGAGAGGTTTTTGGTTTCTTGTTTTGGGGTGGGTTTTCTTTTGTTTTGTTTTGGTTTTGTTGGTTGGTTTTAGGTGGGGTTTTGGTTGGTTTTTTTGGTTGGTTTTGTTTTTTTTTTTTAAACCTAGGGGACCACGGTACAGCGATACGTCACTCAATTACTACCTTATGATTGACAGTTCACACTGGAATCAAAGGTGAATTCATGGGAGTAGAGGTGAGATATCGTTAGGCAAGTCTACAAAGAGAGATAGATGGGCATTTATTCATCACGCTGAAGTGAAACTACTGCACAATATAATTACATTAACAGTATATATTACTTGTAAGTTACATGTAATGCATCTCCAATAAGATAAATCATGAGGGCTCCAGGGATGTTAGTTTACAGTTCAGCAGTAGTTTCATGAATAATGCTAAATCAAGGTAAACAGGACCTCACTGGCACATTTTTCTCACCTTCTTGTAAGGAGCTTCAAGCATTGCTTCAATATCAATATCATCAGCCATTTTTCAGGACACCTGAAAGAAGAAGCAAAACCCACCTGAGGCAAAAAACACCCCCGTGCTTTATAGCCCAACCACTTTTGCCTAAGAGGCCATCACTGCACTGGCTCGTATTCAGAGAGCGGTGTCTCAGAATACATTTCCCACAAGAACTGGATTGAAGCTTTGCCCAGTGAGATGATAACGAATGTGACACAAAGCAATTACAGCTGCAAACAGCAAAATGCTACTGAATGCAATTAGCCAGTGGAAAGCCCAGAGGTATTCCAGCTATTTCGTTCAAAACAAAGAGCACAGATCATTTATGACACAGGAACACAGGCCAGGTGGCCATCTTGAGAAGCACAACAGCCTCACCAAGGGACCCAAGAGAGACACGTAAAGAACAGAGAACAAACACTCAGGCAAACCTGTTCACCTTTTCCTAGCATTTGCTACCACCACATTTACTAATCTGCAGACTCAGAGTGAACATCGCGGTCCTTTAAGAAATGTGGCCACCTGCATAACAGGGGCCTCAGAAGAAAACAGTTACGAATCGAGCACACATAAGATCCACCCAGCCTGGAACTTCGGGTTCCAGACAAAAAGAGATCCACTATGCCATGTAACGCTGGTCACCACAATCATTATTTGTTACTCTTGTTTTTCAACTACAACCCCCGATGTAATTTCGCTCTGAATCCCTTTGACATTTTATGTCCTTTCCATACGCAGGTATGTTATTAAGAACCTCTCAAGACTCTGCATTAACGTAGAGAGAATCAACTTCCCCAAATCTCTTAACAGGTTCTCTCCTTTTTCTTTCTTAAGCTCAAAAATTCCCAGGTCTCTAGATCCAAGTAAGACTCAATAGTGAAGATTTTCCTGCATGCATGCCATAGAATGGCTTTTTAATCACACAGGGTAATCCTTGCACCTGGGCTACAGGCGTCGCTGCAGGAACTGCACTGTCCAGAGACTCAGCCAGCGTAATGAAATCGCTCTCCAACATTTCAAAATCCTTTAAAAGCAGTTCACTTGTAACTGGGACTATTATACCAGAGCTGCACCATACGCAAGAATCAAGTTACTCACATGTGACCATCACCCATTAATACAATCAAGAACAAAACATAATCCCCTAGCAGTATCAGAGCACTGGAATTTCATACTCAATTACTTAACTATGGCATACTAACCTCATTTTCAAGTTATTACCTCTTGGGCTGTAACACTATTGCTTACAAATACGATCATCCTTCATTCAGGTGTAAAGGCCCGACGCACACAGATGATTTAATTCACTGCTGCTCTACCAGTAGTAGGTATGAACAAGTACATCACTATGATGAAGGATGATGAATAAGCAGCAGGCCAAACCCAGAATTCTACAAGAAAATTCCACCGCTGACAGCTCCCACCCACTATTACATTCTCATATGTGTTATTTAGCTACACCTGCAGTGGGATTCTCCATCCTGAAGAGGCCAACAGCAGGGAATGGGAGTCATAAGGATTGCCAAATCCCAAGTGCCACAGAAAAGCGAACGGGGAGTGAAGATTATTGCGTTCACTCACATACTAAGAGCGAATGAACTATCACCCAGTGGGTTCTAAAGAAAGGTCATTATTCACAGTGTTTAGCCATGCAATTCACTGTGGATGCTAACAAAGAAAACACACACACAGTGTTCAAAAAGCTCAAAACAAAAAAGCACATAAGTTTAAGAAAAAGGCTTCCTTTAAACAAAGATATGCCTTGTGACCCTGAGCCACAACTAACAGACAACTAAAAGCACACAGAGAGAGGTATCACTGCATGCCCGCCCTGGGTTTTTCTCTTCCTTAATCATTTACTGCTGGCCACCACGATAGAATTCTAAATCACATGGACTTTTGGTCTCACCCCACACAATCTGTGCCCTTTGTACTCTGTACGAAACACTTCCTTTGTATAATATCATGTTTTTATCAGAATACATTCTGTCAACATAACACAGACCTGCTATCAACTTTGTTATTCATATAATGCATGTAACAATATTATGGATAAATACATTCAAAAAAAAGTAATTAATTTCAAGTAAGTACAAAATCATGACTGATTTTAAACTATCTTTAACTAAACGCTGAAGAGTCTCACAATAATTTTCATAAAAGCCTTTCTGCTTCCTCAAAAAAAGCTGCACATGCTTGACAGCTCTACAGATAACAACAAAAAAGAAAAAAAACCACTAAGCCAAAAACCCCAACAAAACACCCAAAACATCCACAGAAGAAATGAACTCGAAACTTTATGAGTCTACACAAAACCTAAAACTAAAAGGACATGAAATTTACTGCTACTGATCCAGCCAGTATTTTGAAGGCAGATTCCAACTCTCTTAGCTACGTTATATCACGTAATAAGAGCCTAAAAAGGTCCTCCCCTCGAAATTACTTGCTTCTGAATTTATCAAAAAAAAATATAAAAAACAGCAACTCCATGCCTGCTTTGCAAGGAGCCTCCTGGAAAAGCACCAGGAACGTCCAGAGAGAGCGTCGAGGCTCCGGGAGGGAAGCCAAGCTCTCAGCAGCACACGCACATATGCCGAGCAGGGTGCCACCCGCAACCCTCCCCACCCTCTCGATCGGAACGCCATCGCGACTTAAGGAGGCCGCCTTCCCAAACACACCGCTGTGTTAGAACCAGCCTGCGCCTTTCCGCTGCCGCCCCGACCGGAG